TTTGTAAAGCCAATAAGTAATATATTGTGTGCAATAAATGTATGAAATTTATCACTTAATATGAAATTATTTGATCGGGTCTCGTTTCTGTATAAATAAATGAGAACAGAGCAGGTTTACTGTTATTAATTCATGCAATGCTCTTAGTGTATAACTAGCGGCCGCCCGCGACTTCGTACGCGTGGATCCCGTTTTACTCCCTTAGGGTGGAGTTTCGTAAAATCCTTTCTTAGCGGATGCCTACGTCATAACATCTACCTGCATGCCAAATTTCAGCCCGATCCGTCCAGTGGTTTGGGCTGTGCGTTGATAGATCACTATGTCAGTCAGTCAGTCAGTTACCATAATATATTTAGATGCAATGCTATTAATGTATAATAGAGGAGCGCATAGCTGAGTCAGTGCCCGAGGTATGGAAGCGGCACGGGAGGGGTGACATAATTATGACGTGTCAGGGCATACAAGTCTGAAGCACATCTGAAATCTTGCTGACGTTTGACGTCACAATAACAGCCCCCCGTGCCGACTTGTATGCTCTGTCACGTCATATTATGTCACCCCTGTATAGAGTAGAACTACACTGAACTGTCCTTTATTTGACACTGACAGGGGGCCACCGTCAATAGCAGATCGCTAGTTCCGACTTTTGCCACGGTGGAAACCATGTAGTTGAACGAAGATGGTGGCGCCCGTCTGTCAATGTCGTCGGTGGGACATTTCAGTGTAGTTCATCTATAACTCCCATACCTCAGGCACTGAGTTATACGCTAGACCTGTAGTAGTGTATCATCATTTTGTCGGCCGTTTGGTGTAGTGGTTCAGAACGGACTACTATGCCGAGAGGTCCCGGGTTCGATTCCCGGCCGGGCAGAAATTGAAATGATGAATTTTAATTTCTGTGACGGGTCTGGGTGTTACTATGTATAATATGTATGTATTTAAAAAAAGTATATAAGTAGTATATCCGTTAAGCTAGCACCCATAACACAAGCATATTAATTGCTTACTTTGGAGCTAGATGGCGCTGTGTGAGATTGTCCAAAGATATTTATTTATTTATCATCATCATCATGCAGCCATAGGACGTCCACTGCTAAACATACTTAGGCCACCTCCAATCTTTTCCACAATGACCAATGATTTCAACAATGGTCCGTTGGTGGCGGCCTGCATCCAGCGCCTTCCTGCTACCTTTATGAGGTCATCGGTCCACCTTGATACCCCTACGCTGCCGCGCAGCGCTTTCCGGTACGGTAATGAGTACTTACATTTAATGAAAGAGTTGTCTGTAAGAGATCGTTTGCTAGCATAAAACCATTTCAAGTTTGCTTCTATAATAAAACTATTAAAACTAAAGTTTTCTCTACTTATGCTAAAGTAATCTCCCAAGAGATACCTTTAATAGCGTGCTAGTTAAACTGTCTTAACTATTACTTCGAACCCTTAAGTTTATGGCTTATAGTTTTCATGGTTTGGATCCAAATGGCGCTGTTACAAGTTATTTGAAGTAATTAATAGTTGAAGGTATTAATTGAAGTGTGACGTAAAATAATGACTAATTGACAGGCGCCATTTAAAAAAATCGGTCAGTCAATCATTTTCCAATTGACACTGGCACAAATAAACGGGGGTTTAACCTCTTAGGCCCAGTTTTTTTTATCCGTAGTTAAAGTAACTGTTAAATTTTGCTAAAAATAGTTAAATATTAACAAAATGTAAAGTAATAGTTAAAAAATGTACTAAAAGTCAAGCTAACCATTGTTGGAAAAACATTTTTTCTGATATAACCACTTGTCATTTGACATTCTGTCAAATTTAACTATTGGATATTTTAACCACGGATCAAAAAACTGGTTCTTAGAGGTACTACTAAATAAAAAAGAAGAAAAGCATTTTATTTATTACTAGCTTTTGCCCGCGGCTTCACCCGCGTGAAATTTCGTTTGTCACAGATCGTCATAAATTATAGCCTATATGTTATTCTGGGTTATAAACAATAATACTGTAAAGTTTCATCAAAATCCGTTCAGTAGTTATTGCGTGAAAGAGTAACAAACATCCAGACATCCAAACTTTCGCATTTATAATATTAGTAGGATAGGACACTGCGTTTATTCTAGTTTTTATCAGTTCTCCGACAAATATGGTCGCCCTTGCTACATTTTACATAATCAGTTCAACCATGCTCTTTTTCAATTACCTTCCATAATATCAAAGCATACTAAATCAATCTTTTTCTCTTTAATTATGGAGAAAAAGCTACTTAAAGGTGTATTAAAATCCATCGAAGGTGTATTATGAAGCTTGAAACTTGTAATTTTAGATGAGATAAGCATCTATGTATTTATAATTTTATGATATGCATGGAATTTACATTTTTGATATAAGAAATATCCCTTTTTATTGAACAGTAGTCGTCACGTCATATTAAAGATTTTCGTTTCAAAATGGCATCAATTACCTACAACTACATAAGATATTATTTCGTTTCGTCGTCCTAAAATTGGGTACCTAATGTCCGTTTTCACCATCAATCCCTAATTTTTATGGTACCCCTATGATAACACATATCAGAAATATTTATAGGGGTCACTTAAAAATTAGGGATTGATGGTGAAAACGGGCATAAGGCTCTTTGTCATTATGACACCATAGTGGTGCCATTAGTTCTGTCTGCCTCTTTCAACTTGTACAGGTAAATACTTGGAGGGTACTTGGTTTTCGCTTGGTTGCGTAACCGTAATGTTGCTGGGGCAACAAAATGTAGCTATTTGGTATAGTAGCTTATGACACCACAGTGTCGCACCCGGTGTGGCGCCACTATGGTGTCATGGTGCCGTGATGGTGTCATAATGAGATAGAGACCTAAACTTAGCATGAAAATAACAAGTAAAAAATTTTAAGTTGCAAGATTTGCCTACCTACACCAGAGTACCAGACATGTGAAAGTAAATAAAAGCTTGTAAATACACCACTTTTTAACCCCTTTTCAACATTATTACATTCATTCCAAAAAGAAAAAATACAGGGTGATTTTAAAACGCGATCAGCATCACGGTATCCAAGCTATCATCAAGTTTTGCCGGGGGCGGTCAAAGTTAGACGTACGGCCGGTAAATACGGGCTTTATCCGGCGGGTCTGGTGTCAAAGTGGCGAAACAACACTTTGCAATTTTCTTTTGAAGATTACAAGGTTTTAGTAACGGAGAGAGTTAATTTTGGGGTCTTTGCTTTTTATTGCACGTGTTAAAGGATACTTATAGCGGAATTCAAGCCTTTAATATGGTTCAAATTGGCTACATAAGTGGGTGCGTATTTTTTTCTTTACGCTCTTTATTGCTTTTTGAATCATGACAATATTTATTAAACTTTTTCACATGCCTCAGTTGCACCACCTTAATTTTAACCGTAATAATAACTAATGTTTTTGTATCGAGTATGACAGAATTTTGACGTTTGTTAAAAATAAAGTAAGATGCAACTTGTATTTATTGTAATTGTCTTTTTATACTTGTTAATTAATGAAAAAAAACTGTTTATCAAATACAAATTTTTAAAAAACCAACCGAATTGAGAACCTCCTTTTTGAAGTCGGTTAAAATGCATTTCACCAAATACTTAACGCCAACACAAGCCAACAAGGCGATAAAAATCACACTCCCAACTCACAAACTTGGTAGCATAAACGTTATCTCTCCCAATAAATATCCGTTCAAAATTACACACTAAAAGGATTTATTATTTTAATGCCAGTATCTGTTATAACCCTGTATACGATGATAGGCTGTCGAACTGTCAATGTAATAAGGGAGGCTTGTTTAAAACGCTTTTGTTCTTTTTTGATTTGAAAATCGAATGGAACGTGTTTTTAACGAGCGTTTTATTTGTCTGTGGGATAAGGATAGGTTTAGTTCAAGGTTATATTATCTGTGGTGGGAATCTGTTCGATTATTAAAATAAGACTCGACTTTTTTGTTAATAATTGAATTAATACATATTCATTTTCCTGGTGATTAAACACATTGCGGGACTTTATCGACGTACGAGAAGTCCAGTTTTGTTTTGGTTTTATATTACTACTTTAGCTTGTTTTCGATTCCAAAAGGCCCTCATTTTATCAATTTGACGAATGATTGGCAACGAATGTCCTGTGTATATTCTCATTTCAAATTGGTGTAATTCTTTTTTTTTTCTTATTATTATTTTAATGGCGTATACTTGATCACTTGATTCGCCATTGTCATGTGTTTAAAGAACCACGGTGGACGGTAGAGTTTGAATTTTGCCCGGTAATAGGATAATTTATTCCATTCTTTATTGTTTGTTTTTTTTTCTTATTGCAGTGCCATTATAAACTTACATGGCATAACGCTTAGAGTAGGCGCACACCGTTGATTTTTCGTCGGCCGATAGTTTAGCCGGGCAGTTGATCAGTATGGGCATGTATGGGAGTGCGCACACTACGCCGATTCGATTTGGCCGATTCTTCATACAAATTAAAATCGGGCACAACTATCGGCTAACTAAAAATCAACGGTGTGCGCCTACTCTTACTGTCCACCAAGAAGTCCTTGTTATTTCGATTTGAAAAACGTTCTATAGGTATTCTCATTTTAAATNTCTATATATATAAAAGAAAGTCGTGTTAGTTACTTCGTTTATAACTCAAGAACGGCTGAACCGATTTAGCTGAAAATTGTCAGGGAGGTAGTTTAGAGCCAGGAGAAGGACATAGGATACTTTTTATCCCGTTCGAAATAAAAAAAGTCTGCTTATTTATTGACATTAAGGCGGAACAAAGTTCGCCGGGTCAGCTAGTTTTAAATAGTCGTAACTCTTTTGATTTTTTACAGCGACCACAGTTTTATAAAATTTGAAGAATGAGCCAATTCTTAATTCAAAATTCAAATTGTCATAACTCTTTTGTTTCTTTTTCCCGCCAAGGAGTTCAACCTTTTTTTATTAACGTTCTTAATTCAAACTCTTTTGTTTTGTTCCAGCTGCCATCGAGTCATTACACGCGCCTACCGGCGGCGGCGTGGAGTTGCCATGCGACATCACCCCAGCGCTGCCCGACGACACAGTCGGGCTGGTGATATGGTACAAGCAGGGGCACGACACGCCCATATACTCGTGAGTATTTTTATTTATATTTATTGAAAATTTTCTGCACGTTTTACAGGGTTCCCCCGCCAAATAAGATGGCGATGTGAATATCGTTAAAAGCCTGATCATAACTATTAACTTATTTGTGATCTAAAATCATCATCTCATTGTAATTTACTGATGATATGGTTACGATCAGGGGCACGACACGCCCATATATTCGTGAGTATTTTTGAACAGCCTAGCTGTAATATTAATATAGCCTAGCCGTATTATATCTAATCTGTAAGTACCCTAAGACCAATGTTTGGTACTCTTTTACTCAGGCATTTTATACCAATGCTGGGCCAAGATTTTCCCCTATTGTCTGCCTGGCGACAAAGTCGGGCTGGTGATATGGTACAAGCCGGGGCACGACACGCCCATATACTCGTGAGTATTTTTATACAAGTTATCTAAATCTACAGAGTGGAATTTTGTAATGCCACCTGGAGGGAAAGTACTCTTAATATTGTAGATATAATTTTTTTCTCAAAGGAAACATTCCTTTGTTTTTGAAAAGAAATAGAACTCTTTCTTTTCAAAAATAAAGGCGACTTCGTACGCGTGGATACCGCTTTACCCCCTTAGGGTGGAGTTTCGTAAAATCCTTTCTTAGCGGATGCCTACGTTATAACATCGACCTGCATGCCAAATTTCAGCCCGATCCGTCCAGTGGTTTGGGCTGTGCGTTGATAGATCACTATGTCAGTCAGTCACCTTTGAGTTATAATTTAGACGAGCGTAGTTGTAAACAACACTGCAAACTAATATTTACCTGCCAACCTAACTGTTACTCGATAACATCAAACAATTTCAATCTCAGTCCACATGCAAATACGTTACATTCTCCAAACCATACGACTTTAACGCACAAACTTTTTATTATTACTACCGAAGTTCGAAAATTGTATTGGATTCTCGCACTTTTATGGCCTCGTATAATGTTAACCTGATCCGGTCTTGGTTTACAACTTTGATGTTTTAAACTATGGTTGCCAGGAATTATGGGGAAAAAGCATGGAGGCAAGTCAATTATTGGAGATAGAAGGTCTAAAAAAGCATGTATAGATCGTTTCATCCACAAAGACGCGCCCCACCAATTTTTGGTCGAGGGAAGCGCGGGGTGCGGGGAGTTGATCCGAGCAATCCGAGCGTCATTATTGTAGTGTGCGTGTGCACTCATGGATAATTAGCGTGTACCGATAACACTCAAATATTAGCGGAGGAATGGTGAGGCGCGTCTTCGTGGATGAAACGATCTAATAAGTAGGGTAGGTGCACCAGTCCCACACCAGGAACCAGTAGTACACCATTTCTAATTTCACATCAAAATATTAACAATCTGTCGAATTTCCCGCCACTTTTGTTACGTTTGGTAGCACTGCCGTACTTCTACCAATCATTAGTCATAAATAAAAGCGACAAACACGACTTGGTACGATCTGGTCAATCTTAGGCACATTGCGACTTTCCACATTGATTGTTAAATAAAAATAAACCTTACAGCTATTAAGAAAATTGGAATGAGCTACTTGATTCTATGATAGACAAGGAGTAGTTAATTCTTTTTTGCAATGATTGTTGTAATAATTGAGTCACAATATCAAAGTTACTTTTAAAATGTCGCTTATTCGGTTTGTTACTGGTACACCCACCCTAGACGATGTCCACTTTGCACGTATGGTCTCATAATACCTCTTTAAAGTTACAATTTCCATTAATCCTTTCCCAAATAATTTTATACAGTTGCCGATTTGCTATTTGTTTTTAAAGGCACATAAAAGCTATAGAAGGGCTGGAAGACGTAGTGTGGCCAAGCCCCCACCAGGTCACCGATGATCTGGTGAAGGTCGCGGGAAGAGCCTGGATGCGGGCAGCGCAGGACCGATCATTGTGGAAATCCTTGGGGGAGGCCTTTGTCCAGCAGTGGACGTCATTTGGCTGAAACGAACTAAAACTTAAAGAACTCGTCATAATTTTAAAACGGCTAAAAATTATCTTGGTGATGAATGAGAAACTTTTTATAGATAATTAACTTTTAAAAAAAANCATAAGTCGGTTAAAGTTGGTTGATGGTTGACGCGTATAAAAGAAGAAATTAGTCTAGTGCCCAAAGTTCTGTATACCTAAGTAGGGGTCGAAATTAATTACATAATTAAAAAAAAAAACTAAATTTCGGCCCATCGAGAGTCTTCTTGCGCTGCAGCTTCTAAGCACTGGCCCTTTTATTGTCCCGAAGCAGTGGTAGGGTTAATACTGGGACGTGTAAAAGTGCCTTTTCAAAGCCTACTTGCAAAAATAATATGAGTAGTATTTCGTCATTGACGTCGTAGTTCTGTCAAAGAACTAATGCGCATTTACAAATAAATGGTTCACATTTTGATAGATGATAAGGTCAAAGGTAAATTATATAGAACGATAGCTAATTTAATTTCACGCACGAAACCACGTCAAAATAAACGATCAAATGCGTAACAAGATAATCATGGCTTATGTAAATTAGGCGGCCATTTTGGCAGTCACGTTCACAAGATGGCGTCTGTCAAACGCTTTGATCTTGCCGACAACCGACAAGATGTTAATATGACAGCTCAATTCCAAAGTCGTGCTTGTGACATTCTAGATTAATTTATGCCCGTATTCACAAACGATGCTTGCTTAAGCGGAGCAGCAAATCGAACGCACAGCGTCGAATAGAGCTTTGTGATTGGTTCGTGTGTGACCCTGTGCGTCCACGCGCACTGTGAGACCTCATAGTAAATGTTTGTGAATACGAGTCTTAGAGACGATTTGATAGCTAGATAATAATAATTAATTATTTATGAGATGTTGTTCAATAAATTCAGAAAAACTAAGATACAAAAAATATTTTCTAGGAGTATTTTCTTGGGAATAAAGTAAGTATTAATTAGTACATAATTAATCCCCAGTGTAGCTATACAGGGTGACTGGAACTGAACCCGCCATAGCTAATACGCGTATAGAGGAGGTCATTTGCTAATTATTGAACCTTACTTTCTATGGCTAAAGTTTTATAGTTTAGGAGATATGACAATTTTTATACTTGTTTCAGATTTTCCCGAAATTTGACCTAAAAACTGCTTAAATTTTTTTTCTCGCATGATTTTAACCGATTTTTTTTAATATCGAATAAAACTTTAGTCAAATAAAATAAATTTCAGATCTAGATAATGATTCAATAACTAGTTACGAGCCGCCAAAGTTCAACAAAAGTACAAACCACGATAAAAAATTCAAATTCGATTTCGATTTAAGAAAAAACTAATGGTGATAATGGATTGCCAATGATCTTTATAATATCTCTACCTTCTCTTCTTTCCAATGACATATCACACGTAGTAATTAGATATTGAAATTTATTAAAAATTCAAAGTTTATGGAAGAAAATGGAGTAAATTACGAAAATTATCCATACAAAGTTTCTTCAAACAACTCATATTTTCTGCTATACTCCTTTTCATAACTTTTCGTGTTTGTTTTTTTAATGAATTTAAAAATAATAATCACATTATAAAGAAAAAAAAATTTTAAAAATTCAAAATCAACTTTGTATGGATAATTTTTGTATATTACTCCATTTTCTTTCATAAACTTGGAATTTTTGATAAATTTCAATATCCAATTACAACGTGTGATATATCATTGGAAAGAAGAGAAGCTGGAGACATTTTTAAGATTATTGGCAATCCATTATCACCATTAATTTTTGTTTCAATCGAATTTGAAGTAGATTTTTTTATCGTGGTTTGTACTTTTGTTGAACTTTGGCGGCTCGTAACTAGCTATTCAATCATTATCTGGATCAGAAATTTATTTTATTTGAATAAAGACATATTTGATATTAATATCAAATAAAAAATAACTGTTGAAATCACGCGAGAAAAAAATTGAAGCAGTTTTTAGGTCAAATTTCGGAAAAATCTGAAAAAAGTATAAAAATTGACATATCTCCTAAACTATAAAACTTTGTCCATAGAAAGTAAGGTTCAATAATTAGCAAATGACCTCCTCTATACGCCTATTAGCTATGGCGGGTTCAGTTCCAGTCACCCTGTATATTTGAAATACATTTTGCTTATTGTGATACTTTAATTAAAAGTAGAAAAATTTGACAGGCTTCAGCCTAGCACAAATATCTAAACTCCAATAGATTTTGAATTTAATTCGTTTTAAAGAAATGTGTTATTTCTTGTAGCTAGATATTCCCATAAGGTTGTTATTTTATTGAAATTAGAGGGCATTTCATGTCGTCTATCTTTAGTATTACAGAAGAAATAAATACTAAAAATATTGTTTTTCTGATGACTAAATTGGGTATTAAACAGGCTCCAAGCCCCTTAAAGACAAGTTTCGAATTCTCAGCATTAATACTATACCGTATTCCACACAACATGTCATGAGATATCGCATTATACATAATGCAAATATTCCGTATGTAATAGTGTTGTAGAGCAATATCGATATCGATGAAAATTGTTCTTAAACTTACTAATTGAAACTTTGGACACTAGCTACTGAAATAATTAAAAACTATCGATTTTTGGCTTGGCACAAACTTACGAGTATCTTTCACAAATTGTTTTATAAGTTAACGAGAGATCGACTGTGATAGAAAATGAATTAGACATTATGACTCAAGTTTATCGTCCTTTTATGCAATACCCATTATCTAAACCGTTTAAGATATACGCTTGATATTTGGCATGCAGGTACCTTAGTAAACTTAAAGTTTAGTTACAACAGGATATTGCAAAATTCCCACGGGAACGGGAGTTAGCGCGAAATAACATTTGTATGAAAAAATCTAAACCGCGTAAGATAGATGAAGGGGGTAAATCGGGATCCACGCGTACGAAGTTGCAGGCGGCCGCTAGTTATACTATATGGTCCTAAAGTTGTTACAATATTATCGATATAGGTATCAAACTTTAAACTATTGTGTACATCACTAGCACTAACTTCCC